TTGAAATGCAACGTAAAGAAGTATTCATTCCAGTGGCGATTTTAAAATATATAGAGAATAGAGAACTACGTGTCTCAATCTTTATCCTTATTTTTCCTGTAGGCCTTTACAGTTTTATCCTCCTCATAAACTCTGAATTGTATTCAGTATATACATATAAAAATAGAGAGAGAGAGAGAGAGAGAGAGAAGTGTCTCCATCCATTAATTTCCGAACTGAAATTCCTCCAACTTTTTATCAACAAACATCGGACGTGTTTCTTGTGTCTTTTCAACATCAAATATCGGTTCTCACAAATACAAAATTACCAGACAACAATCTGCTCAATATAATGTTTTCAAAAGGTTTTGAAACTGGCTTAAATATTAGTTGAGTATATGACTGTGATAAATTAGGAAAGAATATGGCATGAAGGAGTACCATTCTGGAAATATGACATCATCAATTTGATTCATTTCTCTATTTTAAACAGAAAATGCCTCAAAATGACTCATTTCAAGGGTTATTTTCCTTAAGAAAATAGTGTCCACAGCCGTCGCCCACTTTAATTTTTGACTATGTTGTATAAAATTCTTTGAAAAATCACATATCTCAAAATCTTTGTGGGCGATGGCTGTGGACAATATTATCTGAAAGAAAATTCCATTGAAAATTGGTGTCTTCTGCAACTTTTTAAGAAAATACGGGGAAATAGCACAAGTTTATGACGTCACAATTAGCATTTAGAAGGTTATGAGAGAAAAAATGATTTGTATGATCTTTCTGCATGGAATTTCAGTGATTCAGAAAGCATGAGTTTTAATTTTTCACATTACTTTTATTTTTAAGAAAAACACAGGACAAGAATTGTATTGAAACCGTACCTTGTTCTTTACGTACCATCAAACATGTAAACATATTAACCCCTTTTTAATTTCGCGGATACCCTTGTGTTGAACGAAAGGCGATCTGGTCAAAATCATAACAGGGGCAAAATTCACTGTAAAATGTATACGGCATTACAGATTCCTTACTGCATTCTTAGTTTCCGTCCTATATTAATTATTTCTTTCATATCAAAAAGAAAACTTTGATGGTTTACATCAAACTGTTTACTGTCACTTTCAGATAACACTGCATTTTATGCTTCACTTTCGCGTGATATGATTGGTTCTCCCTTTATCTTCAACAACGAAATCCTAGATATGGATGATGCTTACTCAACGTCTACAGGGAACTTTGTGGTGCCTCGTTCTGGTCTTTACGTTTTTATGACATCGGGACTTATCTTTGGAGGTAGAGAATTCAATTGCAAGTTTACCTTCAGTAACGGTAATTCTCAGCCAGTAGTTTATGTAGACTCGAGTACCGGAAAGTACGACAGCAGTAGTTACATGACATTTGCCTGGATGAACACTGGCGAATCTGTGTAAATAACTGCTAACAGGATGTCAGCCACGTCCATGTTTGCAGGTTGGCTGCTGATCGATGACAGAAACGGTAACTTTGTTTTTTTTAAATTTTTTTTATTGTTATTATTTTTTATAAATGTATTTAATAGGAATCTTTCTCGGGTATTTTGAAATAAATAAATTTAAAGTATCTTACAAGGGTAATTAAATTCACGAATATTGACAATGGAAGGATATATTCAAAACGTAATTTTATAGTCCGTATTTCTCCTTTCCTGACCTGATAAGTTAAAAATTAATTTTAAGTAACTTAAAAATTTCCTAAATTTTATACCGTTTAAAACGTGATTTTGGATCTTTTCTAAAGGGGTGTATTTTAATTTTATCCTCGCTTTTTCCTTTGGATATACTGATATACTTTCATATACAGCAAACGCTTTTGAGATCGCAGAACTGTATTTTAAGAGCCATTCTCTGTAATGACTTGAATTTTTATATAAGAGCTGTGGCACTCATAGTCTCAGAATTTCTCCAAACTCTCTATGATAAAAGTCTTTGATACCGTAAACTCAAATCAGGCAAAAATTGGTTGTCACGTGTCATGGTTACCATAGCAACGTATCCTAAAGTTGGAAAAATGGCATTTTTCAACATGTTCAGAGTCCCACAGTTAACGTTTGCGGCAAAGCAAACAAGTGGCAATGACTGTTTCTGAAAGTTGAAGGCCTGGTGTCTTAAGTGCATGATAAACATGTTTGGTAAATCAATTATAGCATATGTTACTATGGAAACAATGTATTCAAAAGTAATAATTTTGTTCATTTAATTTTATAAAGTCATACACTTAAGAATAAAAACAATTTTAGGTTGAAATGCAAGCAGATAATAGACAAGAGATCCTTGTAACATATACCAAGGACAAAATATGATATTTCTTATAGGTTGGCAATGGTTGCCATGGTTTTAATACCACGAAGGGATTTTAAATTTACTATCTTAGTGTTTTAATCTTATCCTATCTTTTTAAAAAGCATATTTCTATATAACTGATGATCAATTGTTAAAGACGTTGGTGTGACCCTAATTTTCACATTTCAAAAAATTCAATTTCAATTCTTTAAATAGTGCGTTGCTATGGAAACAAGGCGAAAAAACATGCATAAAAATCTGAAAAATACTCTGTTTCCTTGGATACGTACCCTTTTATGTAGATTCCCAAAACTTTAATTATTGATATATGTCAACAACTAACCTGACTTTCAATTTTGGCTACCACCCAATCTCTAACTGGATGCAAAAAGCAGGCACATAGGGTCTAATATTGACATAAAATTAACATAATTGAACATTTTCTCTTCTTGGTAACCATAGCAACAGTGTTGTATTTTTCAACAACCTTTATCTATATATGATATTCAACTTTTGTTCTACGAGATAGGTCCTATTCAAGGTGATTCAAATAATATGTTTCTTGATTAAAAGGTTAGTAAATTCCTAAAACAGCAAAAAAATATCATTTAAACAACTAGTGCATTGTTTCCATGGTTACACTGCAAAGTAACAATTAATCTCAATTTTTCTTATGTTATCGGTGTTGCAAGGTCCTAAGGATGTATATGTGCCAGTCATGAACTTTATTGTTTTTCCTCAAGATAGTAGCATTAACCCAATCATAGCAACATATTTTGCTTGGTGACACTGTGTTACCATGGCAACCATAAAAGTTATTTTTAGAATAATATTGCCAATACCTAATTACATAATGTCAAATATTTTTCATTGTTTTTCTTAGGTTGTTGATTGAGTTTGATCATGTAACATCTATCATTTGAGCGTTTTTCAGCATTTTTCAGCATCTAAAATGTATTCCAAATGTACCCATGGTTACCACTAACTTAGAGATACATTCTAAATAGTTTCTTTATAGCATAAGTGGCAACAAGGTGTCTTGTTTTTGGGAGAATGGTTTGTTTGCTTTTCTTAGTCTTTATTAAGGCTTAATAAAGATTTAAAGTAGCTGAAAATCTCTATTTTTTCAAATTTTCCGGCTGTTACCATGGCAACCAAGACACATAGCAACGAAATTTTATTTGATATATGTTTCTGGTGTCAAGTTGTAATAATTGGCAAAGTTTCATCAAAATCGGTGACCATGCGTGGCGAAGAAGTTTAAGTGGTTACAGAGAATCGCTATTAATTAATATCACTTATTCTTTTAGGGAGTTTTAAAATTATTTAGTATTTGAGATTGAACTTATCAAGACGTCAAGGAAACTCAATTTGTCTACTTTCCTTCATCGAATTTTAGCAAACCTTCATCTGTACCTTTTTGTGAAAAGTTGGGTTTTTTTTCTAAACAACCCATATAATTAAGAAAAGAAATTGTTCAACTGTATTCCCAGACTGCTGAAAAACCTATCACTATTATACCCAGATGTTAAAGATTTTGTCTGATTTTGAAGAAAAAATAGAAATGTAGATTCCAAAATTCATGCCAGTTAGTCACCAATTTTTGTCCAATTTGGGATTCTTAATTTTCTTTTAATTATCAAAAGACAAGCGGAACGAGAGTTCATTGATTGATTGATTGTATGTTGTTTAACGTCCCATTCGAGAATTTTTCACTCATATAGAGACGTCATCATATACCGGTGAAGGGCTTCAAATTTTGATCTTTACTCGGCACTCAGGGCCATTGAGCAGTGAGAGATCTTTATCGTGCCTACGCCTGCCGTGACACGGGGCCTCGGCTTTTAAGGTCTCATCCGAAGGACCCGCAACTTTTACTTCCAATTGCCGAGCGCATGGCGAAGGAACAGTTGCTACCCATTTTTTATCGACTTAGGTCAGTCGCGGCCGAGATTCGAACTCACGACCTTCCGATCACGGAACGAGAGTTGAAGAAAACAAGTAACTAAAGAGCACATTTTTTCCTCTTTTTTTTTTTACTTTGCATAAACCTAATTTCTCCAAAGCTTATGTACATTTTCTTAATTGGTTTTAAGATCAAAGCAATCAATAATATGCTTGCAGGAGTTTTGTTTACAGAAAGCGGCGATGGGATAAAATATATATTTTCTATCAATTACAGTTATGGAATTCAGGCATTCTTACAAGAACAATTAAAATATAGATTGTATGCACTGATAGTAATTATGTGAACCATGAATTTTTGGACTACTTTGCGGTTTTTCATTTGCAATTTATTTCTTTTATTTGACTCAAGTCCTTAAAATTTTCAAATTTGTTATGTTTGTTTTATTTTACTTTCAGAGTTTCTGTTAAAGCGACTGAAAACAGAATGAAACTTATAGAGAATCCGTTTCTCTCATTTGACATAAGATTCCTTATTATCAACTCAGTGATTTAATTCTATAAAATGAATACATAGCAATAAATATTACAAATTTAAAAGATGATTATGATTATTAGCACCATCATCATCACCATCGTCGTTGTTGTTGTTAACATTTTGAAGTCATATTTTCTAAGAACTGTAGAAAAAGAATTTTTAAAAAAATTATTCTTAAAAAGAATTTCCTATTTTCTTCAGACTCAATGCTAAATGTTGTTAAACACCATTAATTTTTTTCTTTTTTTTCTTAACAGTGTCAAAATCAACTTTTCCAGCTTTTCTCGCTCATATAAATGGTGCCTCGTCCAGTACCCCAGTTGTTTATAATACAGCTCACAGTGGCTATCACCATGGTTACTCGACAAGCATGGGAGTATTCACTGCCGATCGTGATGGATTGTATTTGTTTTTGTATAATACAGAAGGTCAAAACAAAGTTGTGCGCACTGCGCTGAGAGTAAACGGAGTGGAAATACTCGAAACGAGGACGGACGGACGTCGTTCTGATTATGACGATACTTCTGCTGTCACTGTTCTTCAGCTATCTTCAAACGATCGTGTCTCTATAGGAATTAAATCTGGGACAGTTGATGACGGACAATCGCTATTTTTTGGCATACTTCTTTTTGAAATCTGATCTTGATGTTTTGATTCAAATTTACATTTTCTTTTAAGATGAAAACATAATATCATGAAGCTTTGGTCTTTCCATATTTGTAATTGTAATTATGGTTACAATCTTTCTTGAGGAATCTTTCTGATTCAAATTTTTTCGTGACACTCCTGACCTGAAAAATAACAGACATACACTATAACATTAAAATAGAGACCAATATTATTTAACATTAAAATAAAGACCAATATAATAAAGACCAATAAAATAAGAGGTCAATCCCAGCAGGCATTGCAACGTTGATTCAATGTTGAATCAACGTTGCACTTCAACGTTGAATCAACGTTGAATTTTGGTTGCATATGAAAGTTGAGGCAACGTTGAGATATCAACGTTGTTTCAACGTCAATTTTCAACGTTGAATAGACGCTGAAATTGGGCTGAACTTGAGTTGATTTTTAGTTGAATTTTGGTTGCAAATGGAAGTTGAGGCAACGTTGAAACTTCAAGGTTGTTTCAAGGTCAAATATCAACATTGAAAAAAGGTTGAACATTGGTTGAAATTAGGTTGAATTTTGGTTGAAATTTTTTGGTTGTACAAATGTTGATATTTGGTTGAAATCACGTTGAATTCATACTGAGTTTTGCTTTATGAACAAATACATTTCACATTCTAATAAAAAAAATTTATTCAAATTGCGAAATATGTAAGTTGTAATTCAGTATTAAGATTCTGAGTGAATTTGTTTTAAACTGTATTTCAAAATCAAACATAAATCCAGGATCCTATCACCGAATCTCAAAAATCACTGCATGTTTAACAAAATTTATCTTCCTAAAGGGGTCACAGTACTCATATCCAGGTTCATCATATCACGCATTCGTCTAAAACTAAAATCCACAAAGTTGCGGATCCATTGATTTTAAATCACGCGCATAGTTACATGTACGTCCAACAAAATGACTCATCGGTCGGAAAGAAATGAACAGCTAGGAAGCTCCATCCTCTAATGCAAAGCCTATTAACAAAAGAGATAATTATGTGAAAGTCATTTATTTGATAACTTGTTATTTCAAATGATAAAAATATACATGAAAATTTAAAAAAAAAAAGACAAAAGTACATGTTCTTATACTTGGAATTAATGAAAAGAATTATATTTGTCCTCGTGTTAAAATTCATAACAGTATGATTATAAATAATTATTACTGAAGAAAAATGTAAAAAAAAAAAAAAAAAAAAAAAAAAAAAAAAAAAAACAACAACAACATGGAGGTGTACATACAAAATGTTGCATTTCTTTGTAATTTTCATGGGCGAAGGATCTGATACAATCATGGCATCAATTACGTCTCGAAATCCAGTGGTTGATGGAACCGTACGGTCAACTGCAATTGAATTGTATATTATATTTTAATTTCATGTGCAAATGAATATCAACAAAACACATAAATACACGAACTAAGGATGTGCATTTCAGGCAGATAAATCTATAAACAATATTTTATTAAGTATAATCTTAATAAGATTGGACAGCAGGTACTGCCTATATAAGTCCTCTCCATAATACAAGGTCAAAGTCATATATGTACAAGTAAATATTAGTTATATAACATTGAAAAAGTGAATATATACATGTGTATATTCAAAAGAAATTTATAAAAGTAAGACAAAATAAATAGTAAAAAGTTAATTATAAGTGAGCTGATGATACAATATATGTTTGCAGTTTAACATATATGACTAATAAAAATAATACAGGTATAAATGTGAAAGTTAATAAGAACACATAAATAGATGTTGGTTCTGTGCTTTGACAATTAAAAAAAAGAAGACAAACAATATCATGCAAATCTCTTTGTAGATGTAATAAATTCATGAACAAGTTTAAATACTGCAATATTTTGGTTGTAAGTAAGGTTATTGTCTCCATTCAAAATAAGTTGGAAGGATAAAGGCGTTGGTAATTGCGAAATTTTGCACACAGATAACGAATATGCTAACAAAACAAGAATAAAATGATGTATGGGTACTAGAAAATCTAAAAATTCTTCTTAATCCATGAAAAGGAAATTATGCTTATTGAGCAGAAGTTGATAATCCAGCCTTAATCCTTGTGCATGGCTTGTAAAATACATTATATATGAACAGCAAGAAGACGCGCACTTTTTGTCCATCAGTTGAATTCAAATTTTGACCTAGATAAGCTGCAAACAACTACTCTGTATCGATCGCTGCCCAGCAAGAAAATTGCATAACAAGGTTATCATGACACTGAAATTGACCAGCTAAGCTAGAACCACTCCTTATCTGATGCCTTGAAGATCAATTTGGGGAGTGGATCTTAAGTAATGTAAACTGACCGGGGTTAATTGTTAGTGCGAAAATTGTTACACCCTTTTGTAACGTGTTTATTTTAATGTTTTTATATTTTGTGATAAGAAAGATTATAGTAATATATCTAATACAGTTTACTTTTTTCCTTCTTAAATGCAACAAAAGCACAATCTAATTAAATCAGACTTCTTAGATCCGCTCTGTATACATTCTGCGAAGAGTATACGGCACGGATCTAAGAAGTCTAATTTTAATTAGATTACATTAATTTGGAATATATATATAACTTATATTAGGCATAAAAATGTTTCTTTTTTTCATTTATGCCAAAAAACTGCATTCATAATTAATTTACAAATTAACCTTTTTGAAACATGCAATTACAGTGAAGAGTTGAATGTAGATGTCATACTTCATGTTAATTAATATCAAACATTTTATTACAGTACTGTAATTACAATTCTTTTGAATGAAATTTAAATAAATAAATTCATCATGCATTTCATTTATTGTGAATAATCATGATATTTTTAACAATGCATATATATAGCAAAAAATTACATTGATTTAGCGTTCAATAACCCTTACTATTTTGACCTTGAAAAATAAGGTGCTCATTACCCGTTGTTTCAACATTAAATTTTCCTTACTTTTTCAACGTTGAAAATATGTTGCATCCTCGACGTTGTTTCAACGTTGAAATATTAACGAACATTCAACGTTGAAAATATGCTGCATTTTTAACATTTTATTCAACCTTAAAATAACAGCAAATAATTAATGTTGAAAAGATGTTGAATCTTCAACTTTGTTTCAACGTTGAAATATCGACGACCATTCCACGTTGAAAATATGTTGCATCTTCAACGTAGTTTCAACGTTGTAAAAAGGTTGAGGATTCAACGTTGAAACTGCAACGTTGAAACAACGTTGAACTATAGTTGCTCAACGTTGCAACTTATATTCCACCTACTTTCAACGTTGAAACAGCGTTGCGTGCCTGCTGGGATGGGCCTCAACATGCACTCACCTGAGTCACTATGGCCGTCTTTTGATTAAAACTTGTGTAAGTTTGTTATTGTCTATATTAGGCACATCCTACCCCGGGGGTCATGACAAAACAAAATTTTTCTACACTACCTGAGGATCATTCATATTAAATGATTAATCATACTTTCACCGTACTTTAATTTTTTCGACGGCGACACCGGCGATGATATCGACAAAGAACAAATTTCGATCAGAAAAAGCTCTAATGAACCCTTGGATTAGGAGAGTTAAAAGTCTTCAATATGTTTGGTGTGCTTGTCATGGTCATTTGATAATAAATTGGAGAAATCAAATATATAATATACTAACAAATATAGTATAATGGCTTATCTCTCAACAAACACTCATAAGATAAAGAACATAAGCCCTTTCCTTCATTTATAATACCACTTACCCCTCACTCAAAATTAATCATTGTTTATTGTATGGCATATATTGGCCAAAGTGGTTAGAAACAGTGTAATCACCACCATATTACATGGGTTTGATTGCAAATCAACAGGGTTCACCCCTACAACAACATTATATCTGTCGTCCAAAACGACAAGTAGCGTGTTAGATTGATCACAATCATGCTACCGACACATCAACATATCATTTAATATATATAGGATATTCAATGTTTTGTAGATGAATATGGAATTAATTTCACGAGTGGGACAGGATTTTTTTATATTTTCACGAGTGCGAAGCACGAGTGAAAATATCAAAAAATCCTGTCTTACGAGTGAAATAAATTCCATATTCATCTACCAATCATTGAATTTTCTGTTTATTACATTTTCTTTGATTTTCCCTTTGCCTCTGTCTTTTCTTAACACAGTGTCATAGGCCTGACGTCATAGTTGAGCGGTTGATACGTCATAGCTTAGAAGTTGTGTGTCAGATTGAAAACATTACATAGCATGGATTTTAGCAACATATTTAGGAAGAAATTTGCAGTTTTAGCTCTATCAAGATGCTTAGTTACTATCTCTATCTTATGACAGGCCAGAAATTATTTTTTTACTTACTTTGATATCCTTTCACACTGTGAGAGAATATCATTTTTGGTATCCTTTCACACTGTGAGAGAATATCACTTTTATTCAATGAATAAATCACAGTATTTCACTGTTGAAAATGTAATAAATAACTCTTCACTTTAAATTGTTTACACGAAACATATATAATTAAAGTGACTTTTTTGCAATCTTTGATTACAAGAGTTTAATTAAAATAGGAGTCTTGATGCTGTAGTTTGAGTGATGCACGAATTGCTTATCAATTCCTGGAGCAAATGTCCGGATTTCACCACATGCTAATAAATACACAGAATTATCAATAAAGTAAACCACCAAATTTTGAATTTATACAATACATAGAATCCCAATTGACACAAAATAAAGTTCAGCATCATAAGATCTTCATGAGGAGTTATGCTTTGGTAGCGATACATGTTTATAGACAAGCTGAATTATCTGAAAATATATGCACTGAAAATGAAAGTTTGGCAACATTAGATAAATGACAAGTTTAGCTTTCCAGAAAGTCAGAAATGCCATCTCTTTGGTTTTATCAATTTTTGTTTGTGTTTGGTTTTTTTTTAATAAATTATTTCCCTTTCGAGAATTTTTCACTCATATTTAAGACCCCACCAATTACCGGTGAAGGGCTGCAAATTATAGTCCTATATTAGGCACTCAC